TTGCGCCAATTTCTGAAAGCTTAAATTAAATTGAATCGAGTTAAAAAGCTTTTGAAAGCACATAAAAACTTTGAACTAGATTTAATTTGTATGCAAGTCCACTGAAAACTGAAGTCTGAACAAATTAGCCTAAATTGTAATACCTCTCTCAATTAAGACAACTTTAAGTTAGAAGCTTAAGCAACAGCCTAAGTGAATACAGATTTTGAAAAGCTTTAATCAAGATTAAATGTATTCAATAAGAAAACTAAAAGCTAAAGGCCCGTTACATCAAACTAAAACTTGATACTGCTCTCTCTCTCTCCCTTGTTCTCCCTCTCACCTTCTTTCCCCCTTTCTCACTCTCTCTCTCTCTAAATTTGGTCCGTTTACTGGAACAACAATATCTTAAAAAAACTTTAAAAAGCACATTAAATCTTTCGGCTGGAAGGTTGAATGTCCGATAATATAGTATTTAATTCTTAAATAAGTTTTTCAATACCTTAGAACTTTTTCCTAAAGGGAAACCACCCAATCAGACATCCACAAATACTGGGTATACTCAAGCAGTAGTCATTTAATTAATGAGGAATTTATTTAATTATAAACAAAGCGAAGCAGCAAAGCAAAACTCACACAATCTAAATTGACGCTTGATAATGCTGCCCACTTGTTTTATCACATTTCCCACATGCTTTCAGCACTGACAAGTAGAATCATTTCTCAACACTGGCCACTGCTTGGTTGTATTACCCGGTAGAAAGATGGTGTACTGTGTGTTTGAGGGTGTGCAAAGCAAATACCGTAACACCGCTCGGCATTATGCTAGTGTCAATTGGTGTAACAATTTGTTAGATTGTCAAAGTGTCTCTGACACTGGAACGCTGCACTAAATTTGTCAACTGAAAACGAGAATGGAATTCATGCACTGAGAGCGTGAAAAATTGAAATTCATTTCAATTAGCTGAGTTTCATATGGGTTGGAATGAGTGTTGCAAATCGGAAGCATATAGTAGAAGTTAATTATTATAAACTAAACATTGTAAACAAACTGAAAGGGTTGCAAGTGTTGAGGACTTAGGACATAGGACTTAAATATTAATTATTGACGTGCGATAATTAGAAAAAATCGATTAGAAATTGATGCCAAATGCCCAAACATGGGATATGAAGCGAACCTTAAAGCGAGACATTGGCACACAACAAAGTTTGAATATAGATAACCATATGCGAATAATATGTGGATATGTATGCCAATAAATTTAGATGCAGATAAATTCGGCTTTAAGCTGAATGAATAAAAGCTAGTTCATAACTGGTTCAAAAGTGTTGCTCTGGAATGTTTCCGCCATGTTTGCTGTTTCATTTGTGTCTGTGTGTAACTAAGCCAAGCATCTCGACCTCGCCAGCCTCGAGCTGCGCCATATAGTGTCATTTACACACACACAAATGCGCGGCCTGACACCTGACAGCCACTCAACAACGAGTGGTTGTCGGATTTAAAAAAGTAAAAAACGGAAAGAGAACGAAATAATAATAAAAAGCGACAGCAACAAAAAAGCAAAGTGTAGCAAACAGTATGCATGCAAAAATGAAAGTACCAAAAAATATAAGAAGAGAATAACGGCGCGGTGTTGACATGCACTGGCGTCGGCAAGGTGTGGGGCGACTAAGGAGGCAAATGACAGGACACTTTTGGATATGTCAGTTATGTGACAGGCACACACTGTGACACTCGAGGCACGAGGCCTCGCTGCGTCTTGGCGACTTTTTTTTTGGATGCCGCAAAACTTGAAAGAATTCAAGGTGAGCCGCACTTTGTGTCCAAAGGCAAAAGTAAAGTCAAAGTTCAAAAGACGGGCCATAAGTTGGACAACAATAAACAAGGGACTTAGGGATTGGGGGACAGCTGGCCGTGTCGACCCGTTCATAGCACAAATATGCAAAGTCAAGTGGCAATTTATCATGCAATGCAACAACAGCAGCGGCGACGGGGGGTACAGCAGGGTGCTGTGTGGGGTTAAGTGGTGACTAGTGCGAGCACAACTAAATTAAATGACCAATGGACAGCTGGAGACCGGCAACCGGCAATCGGCGAGCAGAGCGTTGCGTGGGCATGAATGAATCCAGACACCTACGCCTAGGCACATACAATTGCGATTCTTGTCGCTAATACATACATATATGCATGTGTGTATATACACCCCGCACTGGATAAAAAACAGGGATTGATAAGTTTGGTGAAAGGGTTGGTCGTTTGATAGGATTGGATGCACTTTTCTCAAGTTAGAGATGTCAACATATCGATGATAATATCGATAACATCGTTGTTTTTGCTTTCTATTGATATCAATAGGGAATAACAGTTTTTTATAAACTTAAATTTTGATTACTAATAAATGTCGGCCTTTACAGATTTGATTGAAGGCTTGCCCTTTAAAAATGGATCGTTCAAACATTTGTTAAGCTAAGTCTTAAGGCTTTTGTTATACATTTAACTGTCTTTATAGACAATGGAAATTCGATAACACTATCGAAGGGGTTTTTTTTTATAAAAACATACGAAAACAAAAATCATTTCCAAAGATTAGGTTAGCTTCCTAGTGGGTGAGTTGCTGAAGAAGAGAAGATAGCTTAAAAATAAAAATATATATTTGAACAGGGTATATTCACGTCGAATCTCTGGAATGGCCGTCTTATTTACTTTATTTTTCCTTCTTTTTATTTTTGTTATGTTATGTGAGCCCTCGATTACGCTCCCGTTAGTTAAATCGATGCGACGCTGACCTTTCCCTCAATTAGAGGCACATGCACAGAGCACAGTGCCGGGCAACAGTAAGGGGAATGCTGCTGTCGACGCTTTGGCTCATTAACTAACTGGCAGCAGCCACGTCTATAATTTATCAGCTGCATCTAATTTCTGTGATTTGCAGCACACATATGTTGAATACAGTGTAGAAGCTGACCAGGAGTGGTGGCAATCCACAGGCAACTGGATCGCCGAGATAATGGACAAACCCAATGCTAAGTGCGGCCACAAAAGCCAAGCAATTAACAAGGCGTTCGGTTTAGGAGCTTAGTCATTGGCCAGTTGTCCGGTTGCTGCGCGACGGTCACTTGACAATCCTGGCGATGCGAAAACCCAGTATAACCACAGATGACCTGCAGGCCGGACCCGACAGAGCTGGGCTGACCGGAAGTGCGCGCTGCTGCTTCTGAAGCTGTTGTTGACAAGGCTCTAAAGCAGCGACTGCAACTCGGACTAACCAAAGACACTTGGAGTCGTCAGTAAGCGACCACAACGCAACTAGGCCAGGACATGGGGGCAGAGAGGGCCGAGATGGGAGTAATATGCGTAATTAAACAAAACCGCAAGTGGGGCAGTTGCCCAACATGGGAAGCCTCGCGCTGCAGAGTTAAAAATAAAAAAGGACACCACAAGCGACATAACAAACATAAAAGTACAAGAAGCGGAAAGGCACATTTTGTAGGCACTGTCAAGACGCATCGTATATACCCTTGGAGAGGCACATTTATACATAATATAAACAATATATTTATAAGCTGCATTAACTGATAAGCAAATTCATTATCAATATTTAGCATATTTGCGAAAGCTTAATAGTTTTGCAATACTTGTGAAATAGAAAAAATGTATTTCCTTAAACTTCTTTCCAAATATATATATAGTTCAGTTCAAGCTTATGGCTCCGCTGTTCTTTGTCGTATTAATCCGGTTTAAAGTTCGGCTCATTTTAAATAAAAGAACAGAATTTAAACCGGTTCGTTGTGAGCCCAATTAATTAACATAATACTTTAACGATAGTACAAGATCTGTTCGCGAACTTAAGCTCTAAAAATTCTTAAGTTGCAAAACTATTTTAATAAAGAGACTCAAAGTGACAGAAAAAGAGACTGGAAATAAATGAACGAATTCTTCAAACATAATTTCTTAACAATTTTCAAATTCAATAAACCATCCAAACTACCATGAAATACGAGATACGTTCCAGATCAACTTTTGACAGCAAAGTAGTCCGAACTAGGTTACCCTTAAGAGAATATTCTATCTATTTAGCATTTGGATAGGTTACAAAGCGCATGATATAGTTATGATACCCAGCGTGTGAACTGAGACGTTTAAATTAAATATTTGCTGGCCAGCGTTGGTTGCCGGAGTGTCAAGAAGTAAAACCAAGAGTTAAAACGCAGCGCCACATTAATCTGGAGCATTCAGATTGAAGTGTCTCTGCTCTCTGGATCTGTCAGTGACGACAAGTGTCGGCAGGCTATGTAAAAAAAAAATAAACCTGAAACGAAAGGCTTAATCCTCTGCTCTGGTGCATTTTCTGCAGCAAACGTTTGAGATGACAGAGAGAGATTCAGAGAGCTGTTGAGATATTGTTCAGGGCTCAAACGTCTACTCGATTGCGTATTAAGTTGGTTTCGTTACCGTCCATTGATTTCACCTGTAAACAGAATATGCAACAATGTGGCATCGATTTTATATTAGCCACGGAACACTTGAGCCAGAAAGACCAAATACCCAAAGAGAAATATATTGATATATATAAACGTAAGAACGGCAAACGCAAAGATAAACAACAAAATAAATAGTGGAAAAATATATATATATGCGCCCAACAAAGAAAGATACAAACAGTTGTCCGTGAGACTGAGAATTAAAAGAGCGCACCCCCAACCCAGAACCCAGACATTCAGAATGTTAACCCAGTTAGCTTGCCAAAGCTGTATGCACTCTCAAAAGATTTGAATTCCAAAGTAGCAAAAAATAATATGTTTTAATTCAAGTCCAGAATAAAATTTGTGTGTATGTAAATACTTATTCTTTAAGAGGGAGTGCGAGATATTAAAGCTTTTCGCGAATTATGAACACATTAAAGTAATAGAAAGGCGAATGTAGATCTACATGCGTATGCTTATTTTACATATAATATATAGCTTATTCTTGTACAAATAGTCATGCTTAGAAAATTGGTACTGAACAGAAACTCACTCACCTGTTAAAGCAGCCAAATTTAGAATAAATCCAATTAGCCGCATCACGTTTCACCGCTTGCTTCCTTTCGAATGCCAAAAATATGAATTGTTATACTATATGCTGAACTGCTGTTGCAATTGTCCAAAAATTGTTGCATTTACTAACACTTTGCTTTGGATTAGTTCACGGTTACGCTTGTTGTTCCTGCTTATTGTGAACGCGCCGATCCGGAGCTATAAAACCATAACGACACGAGCACTCACGACGCGCTTGCAGAGAGTGTGCGACAGAGACAGAGATGAAGAGAGACTTCCGAGAGCCGTAGTCAGAGCTTGGAGCTTACACGAAGTGTAAGCCAACCAACGCGCACGAATTTCACTTTATCACTGAATTTGATTTTTTTTTTTTCAAATCTCTTCGCTCGCGTACGAACGTTGCGTTTGGGGCAATGCGCATGACTATCGCAACATTTTGCCGATTTCATATGTTGCCTGCAACATGCACGAAGAACTTGTACACAAATATTAAAAGGCAATTATGTTAGAAAGTAGTTGTCACATCACAAAGCATTTTTTTAATTGAGTATACCTATTAAAATACTTATTAAACAGTAAAAAGTTAGCTTAAATTAATGCTTATCAATGTAGAAATAATATAAATTAATTACAATTTTGGGCAACCTCTAAATTTGATCAATTGCAACTTTAAAAGTTGCGCGCAATAATCAACTATCTATCAACATGTTGACAAGGAAGGGGTAATTCAGGGCACATGTTGCTGCAACTTAAGTCAAAACTAGGGGTATTAGTTCGAAGACCAGCGCAGCTTTTTACTTCAGTTGGGGTAGTCGCTTCAGCTTTCAAATGTATAACAATTGTAGCCATAATTATAACAGTTTCTATAGCAAAATGGCACATTATTCACCTCACATGCAGTAAAAACCCAATTAATGTGCCGGCACTTGGTTTGTTACAAAGCTAAAACTGTTATAATTTGTATGGGAATTACTGTATAATTTCAATTTATTAGTTGGAAAAACAAACCAAAGCTTACAAACATAGAATAACCGTTAAATTAATCGATAACGATAAACTAGCGAAAGCTAAGACGTTTAAATTAAACAGCTATTTTTCCTTTGAAGACCTTTTGGCATGTGTCAGATGAACTATGGCATTTCGATCTTTGCAACCACGAATGAATGGGATATGTGCATTCGTTTACTAAGCTTTTGTTAAAATATTATATAATTATAAATTATAATTGTATGTATGTTTGCCACATGTGTAACTTGTATTTTAGATTAAATCAATTCTCATCTTATCTTCTCATCTCATCTTATCTACCCTTGTTTATTTCACATTAAACGGGTATCACAACTGTAACTTGTATACAAGCTCAATATCGCAAGGCGACACTTTCAATACTATCGATAACATTTTTTTTTAAATTTGCGCGGAATAAACAAATGGCAGCACTTGCCGCCAAAACATTCTTATCAGTTACGTGACGCACGACTTCCAGCTGAATCGTTCAGCACCCACAACTACAACCACAATCGTCTTAAGTTAACCCAAGGGAAGTTGATTAATATTCTAGAAAAAATAATAATTGGACAATGGATGATGATAATGGCAAATCATGCTCAGAAGCTAATGCCGAGCAGAGCGCAACTTCAAATGTCTCTCATGACTGTTCCGACGGAGCCGTTTGGTCTGTAAATAGAGTCCGAAAGGAAAAGGGAATCGTTGCCGAAATGGTTACGCATCGCTATGCCGAGGAGTATAAAATGTGTCATAAGCACCGTGGCCTGGCGCTGATCTTTAGCCATGAGCTATTCAATAAGAGGGGCTTGGCATCAAGGCCCGAAACGAGTGTGGACACCAAAAATCTCGAACGTGTGCTCAAGCACTTGGATTTTAATGTAGAGGTTCACAAAGATTTGCACCATAAGCAAGTTATGAAAAAGATAGCCAGTGCTGTTGCACTAAACCATAGAGAACACGATTGCATCCTGGTGGCTCTACTAACGCATGGCGACAATGGCGTGCTCTATGCCAAGGACAAGTTATACAAGCTGGACGACATCTGGGAAGCTTTTAGTGCGGACAAATGCCCCTCGCTGGCGGGCAAGCCAAAGATATTTATCATTCAGGCCTGCCGAGGCAAACGCAGGGATCCCGGCCATATCCGGCAGTCTATGGGCCACACCGAAACGGACAGTGATTCTGGTAGCAACTATAAGATTCCCAAATATGCCGACTTCTTGATTGCGTTCTGCACAGTGCCTCAATATTGTTCTTGGAGTAATTCAGTGCAGGGCAGCTGGTTTATACACAGTCTCTGCGACGAACTGGAGGCCAATGCCAGGCGTCTGGACATGCTCAACCTGCTCACATTCGTTGCCCAGCGCGTGGCCAACTGCGAGTCCTCCGACGAGCAGCATAAGCAAATCACCTGCACCATGTCTACTCTAACGCGAATTTTGCGCTTTGGGGACAGCCTAAGGGATCGCTTTTAGAATAAATACAAGAAGAGATATCCTTGCCTCATCGTGCTGTTGCTCACAAACGCTTCTCTAAACTTTTTTACTGATCGAATCCAACTAACTTAAAAAGTATTTTTAAAAAAGTTTACTTTCACAATATAAACAATTAATTAATTAGCGATGAGCAAGACTGGCGTGATTGTGATTTTAAAAAAACGCCTCAAAACATGTTTCTAAAACACAAAAATACCTATACATAATTATTCTACTTATCTTCAACATACATACATAATCTATTCAAACAATTATTTGAAAAATTAATTTTATGTTGAAGCAAATAATTATTGTAACGATATGCACTATCGATATATATTTATTTTTTTTTAGTAATTATTGCCTGCGATCAACAAGTACTCAAAAGCCACGAAGCGATTAAGACAATTATTTGTAGTAAATATGTTTTAACAAATAAATGTAATACTCACCCAAATCCTAAAATGTGGATACATTTTTGATATATCGCAATCTTTATATATTCGCAGTTTTCAGCTATCGATAGTTCCTTACGATAGTCACATCTCTTGCACATTTAATATTATTGAGAACTTGCAAACGCAACGTCGGCAGCCAACAAGTGGAATCTATACGAAGTCTAGAAGCCGGCAACAATGTATTTGTATAAGATAATTGGAGCGATTTATCTATTGATTATTGCTGTCTGCTGCGCTAGCATAGAACGCGTTGATGACTCGGACCTGATTCACATCTTAACTGGCGAAGGCGACGTCGTCGCTTTGTTTACGAAAGCCAACTGTGGCGAGTGCGTCGAATATGAGAATGTTGTTGGCAACATCCAGGACGACATAAAGCAGTCGCTGGGCGCGTCGGTTGTTCAGGCGCACGATAGCAATTTAATACACATATACGATCCGAGCAGGGAGCCGGCTCTTCTGTATTTCCGCCGAGGCATTCCAATACTCTATTATGGCGCGATTAACGAGGATGAAATTCTACAGTTCTTCAGCGATAACCGGGAGCCAGGAGTCAAGGAGCTTTCCGATGACAATTTTGAGCACCTGACGCAAGCGTCTACGGGAGCAACGACTGGAGACTGGTTTGTGTTCTTTTATTCCGCGGAATGTGTGCTCTGCCAGCGTTTGTATGCCATATGGGAATCAGTTGGCGGGAAACTAAAACGCAAGATTAATGTGGCGCGAATGAATTCCTTGGGCGCCGGAGTCTCCACAGCGAAACGACTGAGGATTGTCGAAGCGCCCGAATTTATTTTCCTGCGTCATGGCAAAATCTATCGGTATTCGTCAAAGGAATATACTCCCAAGGCCTTCATCGAGTTTGCAGAGGCCGGATATTTAAAGAATACGCATCCGGAAAGTGTACCACAACCATCCAGCTTGTTGGATGAATTATCTTTTGGGCGCGTTTTCGATTACCTAAACAGTTATGGCACGCTTCCATTGGCATTTATGGGCACACTTATTGTGTTGTTTCTTCTATTTACTGTTAAATATTTGTTTAAAGAACCGGCAAAGAAAGCCGCCACTAAAAAAGATAAATAAGTTGAGCGACCGAGTGTAGTTACGCTTATCTTCGAATGATTTCATTTCATGTACACCAGCTTTTGTGTATGTAATAAAAAGACAAAAAATTCGACACTTAAATGAATATGTTGATCATGGCCTGCAATCGCTCAGCACTGACTGACAGCTTGCGTTGCCAACTACTTGAGAAGCGTTGCTGCAAATCTATCGATATATCGATACAGCTGCTTGATATTTTAGCCTTTGCTTTAAACGGTCACACTAAGCGTAATTGATTTGTGCAGCAAAGTTTACAATGGTCGGCTCCAATTTTGGCATCATCTATCACCCGAGTGCTGGCGGTGGCTCTTCAGGGCAAGCCAACACGGGAAGCGGCACAGCCTCTGGAGTTGGCGGTGGCAACAGTTTCAATGCTATTTCCAGCACTGACCGCACTGCGCCAGCATCGCATCTTAGCGATTTCATGTTACAACTGGAAGATTATACGCCTCTACTTCCAGATGCCGGTAACTGTTGCTATTATACTATACTATTACTGTTTTGTAAAACAGACTAAACGAGTTTAACTTGCAGTCACTTCACATTATCTGAATATGGGCGGCTTTCATGCGGATGACAAGCGCATTGTGCGCCTTATCTCGATTGCAACGCAGAAATTCATGTCCGACATCATTGACGATGCACTGCAGCATTCCAAGGCGCGCACCCACATGCAGAACTCCAGCACACCCGGCGGCTCCAAGGTGGAACTCCGCACTCTATATAAAAGTAGCTCTATTCACATACTTTTCCATTGCAGGCCAAGGATCGCAAATTTACGCTGACCATGGAGGATCTGCAGCCGGCTTTAGCCGACTATGGCATCAATGTACGCAAAATGGACTATAGCCAGTAAAACTAGGCAAATGCATATTAAGTTATTTCGTTAAGCTAAGCCTATGAAAATGTCAAATATCCTTTTGCTCAATGACGGTTGAGGGTTGTGACGTCACAAAATTGTCCATACGTTACAGTTGGAAGACATTGTGCATAGGTTGCAAAATAAAGTTTGACAAAATAGTCGTTTTAATGTCACAGTTCTTAAAATAATTAAAGTTAGAATAATGTCTTTTAGCAGAAATGCACTAGATTCTTATACTATTTATCGACACATTATAAACCTCTTAAAACTCCTGCCACTGCCCCCCGCAACCTTGAAGGCTAAGACGCCGGTGAGAATTGTAACGATATAGTTGGGCAGCAGAGTGGCCCAGTAGAGCGCATCCGCATTGAGCAGCGTCAATAGTGAGACGAAGAGATGTGTGACCACCACGTAGCCAATGTGCAGATAGTTGTTAGTATCAAAAGCATTGAAGAAGATGATGCTCCAGAAGGTGTGCAGGAGAATGATTGAGAGCGCCTGAGCGGCAGACGTCATAAAGAAGAGGTCAGTGCCGCCCTTTAGGCCCATTGTGCCAGGTCCACTCTAGAAATTGAAAACAAAGATTAGAAACTCCGCTTGGATTAGGATTAGTTGGTGTGGCACGTACCATATCTGCCAGTACATTGACCAGCGCAAACATGCCCGATATGATGCCAAATCCTAATCCCGAGACATAGGCCAGAATGTGCTTGTTTTCCGTGATGCGCGTATCTTCAGCGACGGCGTGCAGGCCCTGCTCCGTGCTGCGCAGAATGCGGTAGATGATGTAACGGAAACATTCCTGAAACAGCACCGAGAACACCACACCAAAGGCTAGCACATCCCGCAGTGGCACGACCGCAAACCACAACAGCGACGACAGCAACAGCGAAAGCAGCCAAAAAAAGGCGGCCGCTATAAGTATTATGATGCGCACGGGTTCATTGGCAATGGAGAACACAAATAGTGCAAATGGGGGTCCAAATGCAATAAATGTGCAGCCAAATAACTCGGGCAGCGTCATACTTATTGCCACTTAATAGAAAAACCGCCCACCCTGTTTTCTTTTTCCTTTTTTTTTTTTTGTTGTCGGTGACAAGCCGATTAATTGTTCGTGACTCGTGCCATGACGTTATCGATAACGATAACATACTCTTTTGAAACTCTTTCAAATGCAGCTTATGCATTTTATAACAACGCTGGCACTATGTTCTATTGGTATGCATCTAATCAAATATATATTTTGTGTACATATATACGCAATGTTTTTTACAAAGCATAAATTGAATGGAGATTTAGCATACGCATAGACAACAATACAGGCACATATTATTAAAGAGCATTTAACAGTCAGTTTTTTGATAAGCGATGACAAAAGCCGATACGTTGTTCGTGCGTGAGTCGTATAAGGCAAATCGATACCGATAACATAATGTTTTCATACGCTCTCCAAATGCTGCTTATGAGTTTTTTAACAACGCTTGAACTACATCGCATGAGTGAACAACAATTAGTACTATTTGTACGATCATTTTTAATTGGATGAATGCCTTTACACAAAAACAATATTAAGTATAAAATAATTAACTATAAATTCAGCTTTTAATAATGCACGCCCTATGCTTAGCCAGTATTTATTCTTAGAGAGCATTCGAAAGTCGGTGCATTGTATGTTTGTTTTAAAGACAAAGGCGTCCCACTTAGTGTCTCGGTCTGATTGGTCATTGTTTTGGTTTGGGTCTACGGGGATTAGTCACGTTAATATTTGCAAGCGTAATACCTTCACGAGACGCAATAAATAAATTAATAAAAGCAAAAGCTCGATATTGTACTGCTAGTAGCCCATTTATTTTTTTGCTCCCATTCGCAAGTGTGTAATCGGCATGCATAACTCAAGTTGAACATAATTGAAACTCTAACTTTCTAGTGCATGCTGTGATGGCAACACGTCTACTGCCCCACGATCCTTCGACGGAAGGTCCGGATCCAGACGATGAGCCTGATAGTCCTGCCATTGAGGCCGCCGCATTGGCCATACCAGATCAGACTGCAGACCGGACGGCCCAGAAAGGTGCGTATGCTAGATGCCAAAAGCAGGTCAAGTTTTCTTACTTCACATTTTATGTCCGCAACAGCTTTCTGGGAGAGTTTTAATCCAGTTAAAAGATTTCGACCTACTGCCGATGGCAGCACGGAGCTGCGCTTTGAGATTCTGCGGGCGCACATAATGCCACGTGAGATTGAGGATGCCAAAATCAAACGCTTCATTGCCTACGAGCTAACTGTGCGCCAGGACTCCAGCATCATGGACGAACAGCCTGTCAAGATTGAACGACGCTACACAGACTTTCGAGAGCTTTATCAGTGCCTGAAGCGGCAGCATCCCAACGAGCTGAGCAATATCAACTTTCCCAGCAAAGTGCTTGTGGGCAACTTCTCGACTGAGCTGATCGCCGAGCGTAGCGCCGCTTTCACAATGTTTCTCACGCATGTTGCTAGCCAGCCCAAGCTGCGCGATTTGGATGCATTCCTGAACTTTCTACAGCACGAGGAGCTGACCCAGGCGTGTCAGTATCTGGACGAGCGCCGCAACGAGATGGCCATTCCCATACTCGAAAACTGTTTTCGTCTGCTGAACAAAATCTACATGAATCGCTCCCGACCCGTCCTGTTGATACTCTGCCGTCTGGTGGCTGCCTGCACCGCTTCGCCGGTGCCTCATCACTCGGCGGAGCATTGGGCTCTCTTGGCGCTCAATCGCTTCGATACACTCTGTGATATTGATCTGCTGCCGCTTTATATACCGCTGTTGCACACCTGTGCGCATTTGTGGCAAGTGCAAAGGTTCTCAACTTACCAGCTTAAGACTGATTGTTATTCTTGTTGCAGGTGGCAGCGCGGTCAGGATCAAAAGCCCATTACGGATCGCTTAACGGATATGTCCAGGCAGGGCATTAACACAGCCAACATAACCAGCCTTATGCAGGCCATTCACAAGCTCGATCCCCGTACTGAAACCATATAAATCACATACACATATATATATAAACACATACTCACACTCATAGAGCCGTAGAGCTAAGCAAAAAGTGCAATTAGTAAATTTATCGTGCAATTAGTATTAATGTATGTCATATTTATGTAACATGTACTTCGTCACACGCCCTATTCACGACGTCCCCTTATGTGTTGTTTTTTGTTTTATAGAAATATCGTGAGTTGTGTTGCCTATTTATATACCCTTATCGTGATTGTAACTACATCGAATGCAAAAGCCTATTGTACGCAAATTAAATTATCTAAATTAATCATTCCTTTCAGTATTTCATCAATCTATTATCAAAATTAAGACAAAATTTGAACTAAGAACTAATTTAAAAAAATATATCATAGAAAATATTCTTTTTCCTTCCCATTCATTGAATATGTGCGTCACGTTTTACAGGAAATGAAAATTACATCAATTGTTTGGCAGTGCTTCCAATTTAAAAAAAAGCTAATTAGCTAAATTTAGAGGGAAAAGCTTTAAAAAATACTGCCAGTACTCAACGTTTATGTTGGACCTGCCCGACTGGGAGATACCGTGGACTCACATTTTGTATATACATTTGATCACGCCGCAACCTAAGGACTAAAAATAAAAACTGTCAAGCTTACTGTCCGATCAATATACACATCAAAAGTTAAGTAGTTCCTGGGAATCAATTTATACAAACAGATTTAACGGCAACTGCGGAACAAAGAGGCTGAGTCGACATTAGCGAGCGCTGTGGTCATTAAACATTTTTAGCATATATTTTAGGTCAATTTTTTAAACTAAAATCTAAGGTGCACTTAAATAAATCAACTTATTGTACGTTACGTGTGGATCTTTTAAACCCGCACGCAGCATAATAACGCTAACCAACTAAAGTTAAATGTATAAATACGATCGCATGCATCTGACAAGTTGGCAAGTCTTGTATCCAGCGGTTGCTCAACATTGCGTATACATAATTTCAAATGTACAGTTCATCATAAATAATTTTCAGGATCTCTGCTCAGAGCCGGTGTATTTTGGTGGTGGTGGTGCGGCGGTGGTTTTAGCGGAAAAGTCGCGTAAATGTTTTCAGGGCCTGTGCGACGGCTTTCGTGGTGTCCGCTCTAAAATATGAGAGCATAGGCAATTTAGAAAACATGATTAAAACGCATTATTTATGGGTTTGCATTTCGAAAGACTCACCTCAGCACCGTGTTGCTAAACTCATCCAACTGCTGTTGTGTGGCAGTTACATAGCCGCCGCTGTTCTTCTTGGGCAACGCATCCAGCGCATGGGCGAGGAAGGGCTGCATTTGTGCATTCGAGACGACATGCTTGAGCTCGGTGAGCACCTCGGCGACATCGGCGAGCATGTAGGAGTGCAGCTGGAACACTGATGCCTGTATCAGATTCATGACTAGCGCGCCGCCATGCTGTGTGGCCAGCTCAATAACCAGTGGTCGGCACTCGCTGTGCCGTTGGTTGCTGCTGCGTCCCCAAGTTAGCAGATTGGTGAAGAACTTCATGACCGAGGAGTTGGCCTCGCGATGGTCCAGTGAGCAGGCAATTAGCGCGCACTGAAAGATGGGCGTGATGAGGCTGCTCTGCAGCAGCTGCAACGGACAGCAGTCCAGGTAGCGTGAGGCCAGACGGAAAAAATCATCAACAGTATCGGGATTGTTGCGCAAGCCGTTCTCCAGCTGCAGCAGACCAAAGGTCGGCTCAATAAAGGCCTGCAGCATTTCCAGCAGGCCGCTAATGCATTCGTTCGACTTGGCAAACTCATCGACCAGTATAGAGCCCACGTACAGAAAGCAGCTGTGATGCTGCACCGCATAGAGCACAACGATTTGCTTGATCAGCGGCTCCACCAGCAGCACCGCCTGCTTGCGCACCATGCGCACAGCATAGCGTATTAGGCGGCAGGTGCGCTCCATTATGCGCAGATCGCTTTGGTACTTTTCCAGCACACGCGAGATGAGTGGCCAGGCATCATTTAATATTGCAACTGTTGGATGCTCCACGTTGTCGGGCACATCGGGATTCGTGTGGCGTATAATAGCACAGGCGCGATCAATCCAGTAAACGGGATCGCTGCGCTCACCCTTCTCCAATGGACAGTGGCTACTTTCCAGTAGCTGTGCCAGCGGCTGCAACTGAAAGCCCACAATCTCGCGGAGCGCCGGCTGCAGCTGCTCACGCGGCAGCTTCGTCAATATCAGGGATATGCCCTTCAACAGCCCAATGGCCACATCGTTGTTGATCTGAAAGCTGTCCAAGCTGCGCGCGATCTCCACCAGGCCGCTTATGTGACAAATCATCTTCTGCCTGCACGCCGCGCAGATGGAGGTGAGCGCAATAGCTGCCGCTGGTGCCAAGCCGTTCTTCTGCTGCAGCGCATACAGCAAAAAGTTGAGCACCGCCTCCAGCAGGTCCGAGTGATTCTCAATCCAGTCGCACAGCTCACCTATCAGCATTATCGATGTGTACCGCACCGCAATATGCGTCTGATCCGTCATGTTGAGTATCGCCTCTACCACCTTGGGTATCACATCATTCTCCTCGCTGCAAAAGTATTTGATCGGATTAATATGAGATCGGAAATATAGAACTTCCACTCGCAAGTGTGGAAAAATCGCGGACGAATGTATTAGGAAAGTACGTACGGCAATATATTCTTGGCAACATTTTGCATAACAAAGAGCGCTGCTTCGGTAGATTCCCACGTTGTGTTTGGCTCTTGCAGTATAATAAACATTTGCTTGAAGCAGGCTCCGGAGCCAACAATGAAGGCCACATCCTTTAACAGATCCGAGACCTTTCGTCGAAAATCCTATAAACAGAAAAACCCTTTAGTAAACTGCGAGTACAAAGTTAATGGAAATTCGGTTTCCCAGATTGACCAGCAACAGGTCTCTACTATCTTCTTACATAGAAATTGTTATTCTCCTCGATGAGTCCATCGTGATCGCTTTCCATCTGCGCATGCCGATATAGAGCGCTAATTAGACGCTCAACGTGAGGCCGGAAGCGGGCTGTCAGCTTTTCGTCGTATCGCTGAAACAGATCCTCGCTGAGCTTGTACCACAAATGAAACGTGATCTCGGCCACCTCGTAGTCGAAATGGCCCACACAGAGCAGCACCAAGTCCAAGCCCTTCATCGCGTGCTGCGACTCGAACATGTCCAGGGAGAAGGCATCGCACAGAGTCGTAAAGATGCGGCAATAATTAATCGTTTTGTCGGTGTCCTCGTGTGCGACGCTCAAGTGATACGCCGTCTCCAGTTGGCAGACGGCTTCAAAGATGCGGGCCACCTGTGGATCAGTATCCACGCTGCCGCTACGCGTGCCCATGCAACTAAGTAGAGCACAGACGCATTCGGTCGCATTGTCATGCAATTTGCCAGAGGTCTCCGCCGGCTGACTGAGCAGCCGGAAGGCGAGCTGGGAGAGCGCATTGTCGCAAATGTGGGAGAGCGGGAACGCGTGTATGACTAGCCAGGCGCTGTATGTGCGCAGGGTCGCATTCCAAATGCGCTGCTGGTCCAGATCCTCGCGCTGCGCACACACGCACAAAAATTCCAGTACACACTCGGCGCTGGCGTCCAGCTGCTTGTGCACCTGCTCCCGCCGATTCGCACCCAGTCGCAGATAGCGCGAGTCAATCTCCTCGGGCAGCACCTTGAGCACCTCCAGCAATGGCCAAATGGCCGATGGATGCGGCGCGAGCGTTTTTAACAAGTCACTGATCGGCTCCTGCCACGTGGCCATCAGGAGCGCCAGATCGGCCACGGCCAGGCTAAGCTGTGTCACAATTACATTGTCCGTCTGCTCGTCGATTTGACCAATGTGGGTGATCAGCGAGTCCCGCAGAGATTCGTGTGTGTGCGGTGGAAGCTCGCTGAACGAGTTCTGTATTTTGTTACGCATCGTCTGGGCGGCGAAGTAATTGGCGTGTAAGTCTCGTTTCTGGTGCAGTAGCTCGTCTGCTATGGTCCACGAGTATATCTGAGGCAACAAGTGCAAACATTTAGCATAATATGCCTCATTTTGACTGAAAACTCCTGCCAAACTCAAGTAGGCCAATACTTACCGACTTTTGAAACTCCTGCAGCCATTTGTTGGCCTTCTCCTGCTCCTTGGGATTGGTGCCTTGGAATAGTGCACTGATCGCTTGATATACAATATCTACCGAATATGTATCCATTGCGCCGTCTTGCAGGTAGATGTAATCAAAGCATTTAAATTAATGTTACAGAAGTTAATGTTGCTGTTGAAAGAAATTGTGGTGGTTCGTCGATAAGTGTCGGCAATCGGCTGATAACTTTTTCGCTAGGGCTGTATTTTTCTATACTGGAGTGACATTTTTCATTTTTTTGTGTCTTATGTCAAATATATTCAAATATGTTTAAATGACTCGCAAGGCAAGATTATATGCCCTATTATAAACGATTGTTAATTTTCCAAGTTCAATGTACGAATATTTTTGATTTTACTTAATCAAAGAGTTTTCTTGCAGCATCTGCCCATCATAGTTACTAATCGCAGGGATGCATACCTTGTTCATCTCTACGATAGGTTTGTTATCGAATTGTAGTTCGACATATCGGCATAGCAGGTTGTCAGCAAAATTTGCAATGGATAAGGATTCGGATTCCACGGTCACTTCCATAGACGAAAACACGGAAAACTTCTGCAGCAATCCCACACGCGATATTCTGGCCGAAGGCATCACGAACCTGTTCAAGCCCACCATCGAGAAGCTTGACGAGCGTGTGGCATCAACGATACAACTGCAATCGGAGCTGCGTGGACAGTTGGATGCACTGGCCGCCCAGTTGCGAGACATCGAGAAGGCGCAGAATCAAATACCCGAGTTTGCAGAGAAGGTTAAAGAGCTGCTGAACGTCAAGCACAAGGTGACCATCATTAACAACGTGCTGAGCAGTAGCCAGGAGCGCCTGATTGGCCTGCACAAGCTTATCGAGAAGGAGCAGCGCCGGCGCCAGGCACTGCTGGACTCGGCGCTAAGCACCAACATATCATAGACACAATGGAGACACCGCACACCGAGCATCTCTCCTCGGCCGATTACGAGCACGTTTACGAGCCGGCGGAGGATTCTTTTTTGTTGCTCGACGCTCTGGAGTCGGATCTTAAGTTCCTGGACGAGCTGCAGCCACGTCTATGCGTTGAGATTGGCTCTGGCAGCGGCATCATAATCACAGCGCTGGCCAAACGCCTCGCCCACACCTCGATCTGCCTGGCCACGGACATCAATCCACGTGCCTGCGATGCCACAAAACGCACGGCGGCTCGCAACGGCGCCCGCTTGGACAGCGTACGCTGTAATCTGGCGGCTGCACTGCGTCGGCGCTGCGTGGACTTGCTGCTCTTTAATCCGCCGTATGTGGTAACCAGCGACGAGGAGCTGCACTGCCAAACACTGACGTCCGACCAGGCGGGAAATAGCGCAACGCAGCGCAATCTTGTCTACTCGTGGGCAGGGGGCAGAGATGGGCGTCGCGTGACCGACATTTTACTGGAGCAATTGGATGACATACTCTCGCCCTGCGGCGTTCTCTATTTGCTGCTGCTGCGCGAGAACAAGCCAGACGAAATAATCAGGCAATTAGCTAGCCTCAAGTTTAAGGCTGTCAAATACATGGAACGGCGCATTCCCGGCGAATATCTGTACATACTTAAAGTGGCCAGAGACCCAGATTGAGGTGCTTGTCTATTAAAGTGCAATCCCTACGATATAAATGTTTCATTTTGATCTGATTTCGGATAAATTGCAATGGAAATAGATGTCGCGGGTTTGTGTCTTCGCTAAGCGGCTTATCGATAGACGTTTTAATCGATAGCACGACTCAAGCTCCAAGGGAACGGTTAAATTTGAACAAAATGCGGGACAAGGGCCTATTTCTGTTTATGCGGTAAGTATATAGAATTTAATTTAATTGTGGTTGATTAGAAACCAAATACGAAATAGCGTCTAAAATGTTCAGCTGCACGTCAAAGCGTTGCAAATTACTTTTGCGCCTGATTTGGGCAGTGGGGAAAAAAAAAACAACACAAACGGGATTTAACCACCCTACCCGGCATATATGCAACCCCGAGTCGGGCAAAATAAAACAACCGATAGGATTACAGCACCAATCAATGAATTATGTACCTCTATATTGTACATACACATATGTACGATACATATTCGAATAACTACCCCTACTAGGCATCTGCATAATACACCCTCCGGAACTTCATGCTCTTCTGCGGCTGGTGAATGCGAGGGGGGAGGGTGGAGGGTTGTGTGCTGCCCCGCCCAATTGAAAGAATCGTTTTATTGGCATCTGATGACTGCCAATTGTGTTGTTGTTCTTGTTTGTTGCTGCGTCATATTTGTTTTTTTTTTTTGTAATTACAATAATTTATTTTTTTTTTCGCATTCGTTACTTTTTCAAATTGTCTTCTTTGTTTTTTTTTTTTCATTTGTGGTTCTTATTTTGCTTCTTTCACTACAACTGGTTACGATTGAATTTTACTTGTTGTTTCATTTGATCATTTGATTGCTTTTCTTTTTATTTACAAAATTGTTTGTGTATTAATTCAACATTGCTTCGGTATCAAATTGTTTACGGCATATACATATATATATATGTACTCTATAAGTTATTGACCTGGCATGCATAAACTGAAAGCCTTTAAATGCTTATTAATATTGTATTTGCTGCTCTTCTGTATGTGTGTGTGTGTGTGTATGTGGGTTGGTTAATTGGTTAAAATTAGGGCCAAGTTTGGGGGAAGGGGAGGGGCGTGGTTAAACGTGTTTGCAAAATTGGCGGCATGCAATTTGAAAAAAATTGATTCGATTTGATTTGATGGGTTCGTCTCTTTGTTGCATTTCATTTGCAACTTTTTCTCTTGCTTTTCATTTTAAATATCAGTCATTATAATTAAGAAATCGTTTTCGAGTATTTGGGCTAGCAAATATTGCGTGTATTCAATATATGCCGCTTGCATAGCCCGACTACTTAATAGGTATGTTTTGTATAAATAACATTAAAAGTTGGCTTGTTCTTGTTGATGCCTCAATGCATTCATATATATATATATATATATATATATATATATATATATTCATCATTTCTTTCGTTTCGTATTTGTTTTTGTTTTTACAATTTACAAATGAATTAACTTTATCAGTAATTGATTTGCCTTTGCACATTATACAACACAATGTTTTCGATATAGCTCTACAAACTAAAAATTTGCCTTCGTGTCGTGTAGTTTATTTGTTTTTAATACTGACATAATGTTTACTTAAGAGTAGTCATAGTAGTTAATAGGTAAATGCTGAAATAAAGGAAAATTATCGTTCGCTCAGTGTAGTCGACGTCAAAGTGGATCGTGAAATCAAACTTCCCGTTGCGCCCCCCGCAAAGCCAACAAACCCGGCTTCGGCTTTAGCTTCGGCTTCGGCTTTGGCTTCGGCTCGGTGTGCGGCCACAGTGGGCGCGAAAACTTTTGAAACCATATGTAAAACTTGAGTGTTGTTTTGTATATATATATATTTTTTTTAATTGCATTTGCTTTTTCGATCATTCATAAAATGTAACGTCTAATTTTAATAATGAATTTTATTACTTGTGTCTGTGTGTGTGTGTTGTTTTTTTCTTCCTTTAATTATTATTATTAATTAAATCATGGGGCTCCGTTTAAGGTTCTTCATCTGCTTCATGCTATGTATCTGTCATTTAAACTTAAGACTTATGACTTAAAGGAAAGAAAGAGCATGTTTTGTTTGTGTATATAGTTTTGGGGGGATGTTTACTTTTTTCGGTTTTTGTGTTCTCGCCCTATTCAAAATTGCTTTGTATTTGTTTGTTTTTTTTTTTTTTTTTTGGATTTTTTTATAAAAAAAGTACACATAAAATACAATTAAAATAAAATAAGAAATAGAAAATTATTTCTTAAACATAAGAATTATATACTTTTGCGATTTTTTTGTGTGGTTTTCTCTGGTTTTGTTTTTTGCTTGTAACTTTTTATTTATTATTAATTTAAATTTTTGTTTGTTTTGTTTTGTAATTTTTTTTTTAGCTTTTGTTTTTTTTTTTTTTTTGTTTTTTATGTTTTGACTACATTATTATTACGCTTGATCGTCCGAGCCGGAACCGTCATCATTGTCATCGTCATCATCTGTTGTTTGAGAAAGATTTGTCTTAGTTTCGGGCTGCCTTTTTTGAGAATTCCGTGCATTAGACTTACCGTCACATTCAATATCATCCTCCTCACCATCGTAGGGTACATCGTATTCGTCGCTTTCAATTTCACTGTCACCCTCGATGAGATCATCTAATACCTCCTCCTCATCGGAATCACCATCAGCGGGTTTATCTTTCTTGGCTTTCTTTGATTCGGCGGATTTAGCCTGCAAACACAAATAAAACAAAGATGCCAATTGAGTAAAGGATATCGATAATGAAGGCTTCTGTTGTTGTGACTGGAACCTTTTGGGCGCCCAAATCAAACCCCACACTTCTCCTTGATCAAGGGCAATGCGAATTGTTCATGGAAAGAAAACATAAGCCCAACATACACATTTTTCTCCACACACATAGCTACAGCATGTTTATGGCTGTGTGTATGTTTGTGTACGTGTATATGACCATAAAATGTATATTTAAAGCCCACAAAACAACAAGAATCGCCCTTTACTGGGGAGCAGCAGCAGCAAAGAAAAATCGTTATTTTCGCCGTAAAAAAGGCATTTGAAAAATGCGCGCGTCAATGGAATTCGCTGCAGCAACACACGCACCAACGAAGCGAGAGAGCGAGAGAGTAAAAGCGAACGATTGCCGCATTACAAGTGCACCTCTCACTTACATACCAACAACAATACATAAGGCGGCATATTTACTACATAATGGAAAAACAACAATCGAGAGGGCATATGTATCCGCATCCGTGAGACACAAAACCAGCCAAGCCAAGCGTGCGTTCGACCCACTGTGACCGAAAGCCGAGCGAATGAACCAAACCCGAAACAAACCGATCCGAACAGGCAGCGACGCTAGCGTCGCAGCTGCTGCTATATGATGGCGGTTGATATGTGTGCGTTTGAAGAGCTATAAAAGAGAGCGAGAGCACAGCGCTGTCGCTGTCAAGGCAGAACTGTACCTGAGAACGCGCGCGTCGTGACAATGGCTGGATGAATGAAGACTCACACACACACACAGACAACAGCTGCCGCAGAAAAAGGCGCAAACGGTTGACCGCCGACGACGCTAGCGGCGCTGCCCTGGCCTGCGTTCATGTGCTGCTGCTGCGTGGGTTCAAAACTCAGTTAACCAACCAACAACAAGGCAAGTATATAAGGCGGTCACGTTCTCATGTAAAAGAAAGCTTGTAATACATATGCATGTATGTCTGCGCACGTGTGTATATGTGCGAAGGCATAATTTAACAGCGATTGTTACAAAGCAGAAAACAAGATAACTGTGAAAATGTGTGCAAAATATACGACGCGCTCTCTCAAGCAAAACAAAAGCCACCAAGAAACTGAAGACAAATACTTATGCTACCAGACCAGCCATTAAAACAAACATCCCATAAAACAGGGCCATCAATGATAGACGCTGTTTTATTGCACTAAAGTGAGGGATGAATATTTAAAAGAAAGCTCTAGAAACCAGCTGCTAATCACTTGGGAGAGATCTAAGAGGCTTCATTTAAGAGAATTCCTTAACGATTCCGACCTTAAATAATTTTTCTATTAAATATTCTGTTCGGAAAAAATCCGATAAATAACATAAATATCTTATTTGAAACTATTCCACAACCATCAATATATTAATCTAAGCCCAGTGTCTCTCGCTGCACAACAGTAGGCAACACTATCTAGAATTTCTAATTAAACCGTTACTTCTCCTGCATATTATGAATAGGGAAGTTGCGCCACCCTGTAAATGGATTGTTTTTATGTGCGCCCGCCATGCGCACACACACATAAGTACATAAATGTACCAAAATAAATACACGTAAGGCGAAAAAAAG